CTGGCTGCGCCGCCCACCTGGCTTCACTAGGTTGTTTCCTGCTGGTACCCAGTGGAGCCTCCGGCGGCCAGTCTACGGTCTCCGCCAGGCACCCCGTGAGTGGCACGACACACTCAGGACGACTCTTGCTGCTCTTGGGTTTGCTCCTTCCACTGCTGACCCGTCGCTGTTTCTACGCACCGACACCACTCTTCCGCCGTTCTACGTTCTCGTGTACGTAGACGACTTGGTCTTTGCTACTGCTGACACTGAGGCACTCGCCCACGTGAAGTCCGAGCTTTAGAAGAGACACACGTGCACAGACCTGGGTGAGCTGATAAGCTATCTTGGCTCGCGGATCACCCGGGACAGAGCACAGCGCACCATTACCTTGACTCAGTCACACATGGTGCAGCAGGTCCTTCAGCGCTTCGGCTTCGCGTACTCCTCGCCACTGTCCACTCTTCTGCCTACCGGTCACTCGCTCTCAGCTCCAACTTCGGACGAGTCCGTAGAGCCGAGTGGCCCGTATCCAGAGCTTGTGGGCTGCCTCATGTACCTGATGACCTGCACTCGACCTGACCTTGCCTACCCTCTTAGCATTCTAGCACGCTGTGTCGCTCCTGGCAAACACAGGAAGGAGCACATGGATGCAGCTAAGAGGGTGTTGCGCTACTTGTGCAGTACGTCGGGCATGGGGCTCGTGCTTGGAGGACGGGCTCGAGTTGTCCTCACTGGTCACGCAGACGCTTCCTGGGTTGACGACTTGACTACGCAGCGGTCGTCACAGGGGTACACATTCAGCCTTGGCTCCGGCTTTGTCTCTTGGCGGTCTACCCGCTCGTCTTCTGTTCTCAGCTCCAGTTGTGAGGCTGAGATTTACGCTGGGGCCATGGCTGCACAGGAGTTACGCTGGCTCACCTAACTGCTGACCGACCTTGGAGAGCCGCCTCATTCTCCTCCAGTGCTGTACGTCGACAACAAGGCCATGATTGCCTTGTGTCAGGAGCACAGACTGGAGCACAGAACGAAGCACATCGCTCTGCGTTACTTCCTTGCTCGATTGTTGCAGCAGCGTGGTCAGCTTCGTCTTGCTTACGTGGCCTCTCGGGCCAACACTGCTGATGTCTTCACCAAGGCACTTCAGCCTTGTGATCATCAGCGTTTCTGTACTGTTCTAGGCCTTGTACCTGCTGTGCCTCACTTGCTTACTTCTTGACTCGGGGGGTGCGGGGACTGTACGTTTCTGTACTGTTCTAGGCCTTGCACCGCCAGCAGCTCCAGCAGCACCTCCAGCACCAGCAGCACCTCCAGCAGCTCCAGCAGCAGCTCCAGCACCAGCAGCACCTCCAGCACCAGCAGCAGCAGCACCAGCAGCACCTCCAGCAGCTCCAGCAGCACCAGCACCAGCAGCACCTCTAGCACCAGCAGCACCGCCAGCAGCTCCAGCAGCACCAGCACCAGCAGTACCTCCAGTAGCTCTAGCACCAGCAGCACCTCGACAGCACCGAGCGTACTGTCCCCGCACCCCCAGTCCCCGCACCCCCAGTCCCCGCACCCGCAGGCTCAGCACCCCAAGCAGCACCTGAGTCGACAGCTACCTTGACCGGCTCGGCAGGTTCTACCTGGGACACACCAGAGGGGGCAGGAGCCTGGGGAGGGAGGGGGTCTACCGGGGGAGTACCTGGTGCGAGGAAGAGCGGCGAGGGGGGGGAGAGAGGCAGTGCGGTAGGGAAAGAGACGGTAGTAAGACACCGACTCGTCAAACGTGACGTCCTGAGAGGACAGAACACGACGCGAGGTTGGGTGGTAGAACTGCCACCCGGGTGCGTCAGGAGGGAAGCCAAGGAAGACACAGGGAACGGCACGGGAGGACAGCTTGTCCGCTGAAGTATCGCGGACAAAGGCTCGAGATCCCCAGACACGGAACGCGGACGCATCGCCAACCTTCCCCGTCCACCTCAGAGTAGGTGTGGTCTCCGGCAAGGAGACACGAGGCTGAAGGTTCATCTGATGTGCAACGTACTGAACCGCGAACGGCCCCAGAAAATGGGGAGCAGCCGCATGGATCATGGACGTACGAGCGACGTCCATTACCATGCCAATGCGGCGCTCAGCAATCCCATTTTGCTGTGGAGAAGCCGGAAGCGTGAACGTCTGGCGGATGCCCTCCGCACGACAGAAAGCCCTCAGGAGGTCGGAGGAAAACTCACCACCTCTGTCGGAGTGCAGACGCAGAACAGGAAGGTCCGAGCCGAAACTCTCGCTGAGCTGGCGACGAGCACCGCGGATCCAGTCGATCAACACCTCAGGGACCTCACCCTTGCTGCGCAAGGGGAAGAATGTGGTGTAACGCGAGTAGTCGTCAACGACCAGCAGGAAGTAACGCTCGTGACCCTGTCCAAGGACGCGGGCTGGGCCCCACACGTCCATGTGAAGAGTCTGCAGAGGAGCCTCAGTCGGAGGGAACGTGGAGGAAGCGGGAGACCAAGAACCTGCTGAAGGAGCGGAACGTAGTACGGCCGCGGCCGCGCAGCTCCTCCAGAAAAAGCAGAGACAGCACCAGTACCCTCAGCTCCAGGGTCTCCAGCAACAACTCCCGCAGCACCACCAGCTCCAGTCGACCAGTTTACGGCCTGCGTCAGGCACCCCGCGAGTGGCACGACACACTGAGGACGATGCTTGTGGCTCTTGGGTTTGCTCCTTCGACTGCTGACCCGTCGCTGTTTCTGCGCACCGACACTACCCTGCTGCCGTTCTATGTTCTCGTGTACGTCGATGACTTGGTTTTTGCTACTGCTGACACTGAGGCGCTGGCCCTTGTGAAGGCGAAGCTGCAGGAGAGACACACCTGCACTGACCTGGGTGAGCTGCGGAGCTATCTTGACTTGCAGATCACATGGGACAGAGCACGGCGCACCATCACTCTGACCCATTCACACATGGTGCACCAGGTCCTTCGGCGCTTCGGCTTCCAGTACTCCTCGCCACAGCCCACTCCTCTACCTACTGGCCACTCGCTCTCAACTCCACCTTCGGACGAGTCCGTAGAGCCGAGTGGTCCGTATCCAGAGCTTGTGGGTTGCCTCATGTACCTGATGACGTGCACACAACCTAACCTCGCGTACCCTCTCAGCCTCCTGGCTCACTACGTGGCTCCCGGTAGACACCGAAAGGTGCATTGGGATGCTGCGAAGAGGGTACTGCGTTACTTGTGCAGTACATCGGGCATGGGGCTCGTGCTTGGAGGACGGGGTTTAGTGGTACTCACAGGACACTCCGACGCTTCTTGGGTCGACGACCTGGTGACTCAGCGTTCGTCACAGGGTTACACCTTCAGTCTTGGCTCTGGTTCTGTCTCGTGGAGGTCCACTCGTTCTTCTTATGTGCTTGGTTCCAGCTGTGAAGCCGAGATCTACGCTGGGGCTATGGCTGCACAGGAGCTACGCTGGCTGACCTACCTGCTGACCGACTTGGGGGAGAGGCCTCATTCTCCTCCTGTTCTGTACGTCGACAACAAGGCCATGCTTGCCTTGTGTCGTGAGCAGTGTCTGGAGCACAGGACGAAGCACGTTGCTCTTCGCTACTTTCTTGCTCGAGAGCTGCAGCAGCGTGGTCAGCTTCGCGTTTTTTACGTAGCCTCTCGGGCCAAGACTGCTGATGTCTTCACCAAGGCCCTCGGGTCTGGTGATCTTCACCGTTTTTGCACTGCTCTTGGGCTTCTGCTCGTTCTACCTCACCTGCTTGTCTCTTGATCTTGCAGTTGTTGTACACTGATATTTATATTTATACCTGCATGTTTCCTATTGCTAGGTTGTGATCAGTGTACTGCCTTGCTATTATAACTCTGCATGTGAACTGGCCTTGTTGCTGCTTGCTTGTGCTCGGATTGTGTAATGTCCTTGAGATCCACCCTGAGCTTTGCTTTGCTCTGTTGTCTTGCTTGACTGGTCTTATGACCGTCTTCTTGTCCCCCACTTAGCCTATGGGGGTGTGTCAAAGTACAATCTTACTTGTAGGCTATAGTGGGGCACTACTTATGGGGTACAGCACTTCTAGGGTTAGTACTTGTACCCCAGCTCTTGCTAATCCAATAATTCCTGCATAGAGGGGGGTTTATGAGGTTGAAGTGGTGGTTTAAAAATTGGTGGCGGGAGTAAAGTCAGGGGAAGGTGAATGTGTGCAAATGCTAATATGGTAGAGGGGCGCAGGGTGTTGGGAACAAACAATCTTAAGCGCCTCTGTCGTGTCGAAACACCAAGGCACAAGCGAAGCAGAGCATATCGAGGCACCAGCGAGTCAACCCTCGGAGGTTGAAGTAACCGCTGGAGGTTACGCGAAAGTCAAAGGTCAGCGACCTTTGACTTGACAAATGCAGCGCGACAGCAAGGACACACAACTGACTCGACATTGAGCAGTTGCCCGAGTCGCACTGTATCGAACCGCAACAGTAAAACAGTTTAATTATATCTCTTCGTATTCTTTGTACTCTTATATAAACCTTTGTACTTGCTTGTTTTAATCAACTTACTTTGCCCTCACATACCAGCGCAAGGTGGTTCAAGGACTTCATTTAAACGCTTCCGCTACTACATCACTCTACCCAGAGTTTAACCCTACCAAAGATCCTAAGGGGCACTCAGCCCAACACAGGGGACAGAGGGTGAGGGAGAGGGGGTAGGGGAGATTTGTCTTAATTTTGTAATATGTTTGTATGTTTGTAATATATTTGTATATTTGTAGTATGTTTGTAGATGGTTAGAAATAGTATATGCTTGACGGTAGTAGTAATGCACTGCAAGTGTGAGGCTGAAGCTACCGTAACTGCTCAGCCGTTCAATTCGTCCAACTGTTGGACACCCGGCTAACTTGGGCACTGACCAGGGGGCTGTCTTGAACTGAGGGCCTGCACATGAAGTTCCCTCGTGGTCGCTCACTTGGTCGTTAAATCACTTCTTTACTGTACCATTTCAAAGCCAAGATGTAAGAAAAGGAAGCATATCCACCTTTTGTCCAAATTCCTACTTCTCCCGCCTCCTCTGCCTCTCCGCTGCATCAGCCTCGGCACGCCTCTCCCGAGCCACCCACAGCAGGCGCGGGGCCGACCGCAGCCACGTGATCCCCTCCTCATGGTCGCTCACTCGGTCGTTGATCATGCTGCGGCCAATCAGGAAGCGGTTGCAGTCCAGCGACAGCTCCCCTGCTGCCACGTCATCAGCAGAGAGCTGCGGGGCTGAGGCGACCTTTTCAATGTCGTGCTCGTCGACTAGTTGTTCTACACCATCCATGAGCTTATCCGGTTGCGGGTTTTTCTGTAAAGGGGATGGGAAGGGGATAGAGGAGAGGCATGTCATCAGCTGAGAACTGTGCGGCTGAAGCAACCTTTTCTGTGTCGTACTCCTCGACTAGCTGGTCTACTCAGTCCATGAGCTTATCCGGTTGCGGGTGCTTCTGTAAAGGGGATGAGAAGTCGATAGAGGAGAGCCGTGGAAAAGTATTATACGATTCCGTGAGCTTCATATTGGGAGTGTGTATGGTTCCACATACTGAGGCAAGCACGAGAAGAGCGAAGCGGCACGACGGGACGAGCAAGGAATTTAGAGAATCCTTGAACCAAACTGATAATTTTGTAGATTCTGACCGGTCTTCGAAAAAAACTTAAACTATACTGGGGCACGATTGAGGAGCATGAAGGTCCGAGAGTGCGAGAGCGGGAGCCCCAGAAAGAGTGAGAAGCATAAGTATTGCACACTATTTTTTACCACCTGAGAATTATGCACGCTATTTGACGAACTGGTATCTGCACAGGTGGTAATATGCATGTACACTGACCCCACAGGTGAGTGCAGGCAAACGCACCCCCAGCAAAACCCACAGGAGAAACAGGAAACAATAGGAAACTCACCCTCTTGCGTCTGGCGTGAGCAACAACCCCCCGCCTTGCCACTGCGCCTTCCACCCACGGATTTCCCCTTGGCGTCTCACATCCCAACCCTGTTAACCGGCGCATGCTGTAACCCGTGCCGCTGCTGCTGCTGCTACGACTTAAGCTGGAACTTATGCTGCTGCTGCTATAGCTTCTCCAGGACGTGACAGTGGCAGCTGATGAATGGCTGGATATGAGCGTGCACGTGCTGCTGACAGGTGTGTGCAGGCTGCTAGTTGTGCCATGGTGGCCGATGGGCATTCGGCATGAAAGCATGCTGGGCGTGTTGTGTGTGCTGTGGGCTGGTGCAGCTATCAAATTCAAGGTTGGACTGGTGAAGGTGGGTTCAGAGACGAAAGAATGTGGTTGCTCTGATGTATTAATAGATTGAATCTTGGATTGGACGCTGGATTGGATCTTCCAGCGCCTGCAGCAGGGCAGGAGCAATGGGAGAAGATAGGAGGAGAGTAAGAATACTCAGGGTACGTTTAATGATGTATCATGAGACTATGCTGTATCACTCAGGTAGACTATCAGCGATGCTGTATCATTGGATCCAATAACGTTGAAAGTTGGATCTGATGTTGTTGAATCTCATATCGTTGGATCCCAGGGACCCAAGACTTCTGGGAAAAAAACGATTCTATCCCTTTCTGCCTGCAGAGGGGGCAACAGGGGAAGATCGAGCAGCAATGCAGGGCAGTGGGTGAAAGGATGGAGGACGTGGGGGAGGGGGACGGGGAGAGGGAGAGGCGGGACGTGCAGGGATGGATGGGATTGAGAGGAGAAATACTGCCAGTGGCTATGGAGAGAGGGGGAGGCGGGGCAGTGCGACGGGGGATGGGGAGGGGAGAGGAGGGGTAGTGGGATGGGAGGTGGGATGGGAAGGGTGAGGAGGGGCAGTAGGAAGGGGGATGAGGAAGGGGGAGGAGGGGCAGTGGGAGGGGGGGTGGAGAGAGGGGTGGGGAGCACGAGGAGGGATGGGGATGAGGAGGGGGCGGGCGATTGCAAGTGAGACTGACGCGCATGGCGGCAAGTTAACAAAAGGCCGTTTTAAAAACCAAGGAGGAGGGAGGGATGTGGTGCAGAGATTCATGGTGGAACGAGAAGAGGAAAAGGTGAAAGGAAAGATGAGGAATGGATGGGACGGATTTGCAAGGCGATTTTCAAGTCGATTCATAATTTCTGAGTCAGACTCGAACGGAATGGGACGGATATGGAGGGTGAAAGGGGAAGCAGTGCGCGAGAAGGGCGGGGAGGGAGGAGCGAAAGCACACGACAAGGGTTGTGCGGGGATAGTGGGGCCGCGACGAGTTTTGACGCGACCGAAAAACTCGTCTCATACGGCGGTGAGGGAGGAGCGGGAGCAGACGGGAAGTGTTTGAGCGGGAATGGTGGTGTTACGGATGTTGCAAAGACAGCAAAGCGTTCAAAGCCGAAACAGGAGTCGAACGAGAGCCCTATTTGATGTCGCCAATTGATTCTGTAATTAATATCACCCTGGTCAACGAAACCCTAAAAAAAACTTTTAAAACGCAATGAGCAGCTTGACTTTCAAAGCGAGTAACAAAACTATTTCTCAAAGCAACGGCTGTGTTTCTCACCTCGAGCGAGAGCGCAGCAGCAGAAAGAAAAGCTTGAGCAGCGGCTCTCTTTGCTACCTCCACTGTAGGGAGCTTGATGATGCGGAGGGTGGCGTGAAAGATGGGGTACAAGATATGCAAGGCAGCCAGCAACTTTTGCTGTACTGTAATGAAAATCGAACCAGGAAAGAAGCCTTGCGGTAGTATCCCCTTCACATAAACACGTGCTATGTGGTAACCGGACTTTTATTGTTCGTTTCTGTCGATCACCCAGTGAACAGGTCTGCGAGAAGTAATTTCTCGCGGTTTTGTCGCGAAGCGTGAAAGTTCTGTTTTGCGAACATATTTGTGGGTCAGTAATTCCTAGGGAAGTCCTTGGCTCTTGCTTTCACGAAGCAGTTCTTTACGAGAACCGTTTCACCGCACTGAAACACATCGCAACAGTCTGGATATCCGAGATTCCCACCGCACCATACAAAACCGTGGAGTCGTCAGTCGTCAAACCCACATATTACTGTGCATATTAGCTTGATTTGCCGTGAGATGCGGGAGACTAGAATTTAGACTAGCATTGGGTGTCCTGAGAAAACGAGAGCATACCGTACAGTGCTGATTACAGTCGCGTCGTCACTTCCGAGTGGGTTTTAACGAGAGCGCCGAGTGGGATCTAACGAGTGCCAGCATGCAGCCTGTGCGACATAGATTAATCCGAGGTCCTCTGGGTTGAGAAGCATTTTCCATTCACAGGGTTCTTAGATGTGATTTCGTTCCCGGCTTGGTACTATTGTGTCTGGATATTCCTGTACGAAACGCGGGATCGCGGTGGTTTTCGATGGCATTGCGATTATGTCCCACCACGTACTTGGTTTAAAGCGCGACTCGATACCTTTCAGTGAGGTTAAGAAGACGGTACAGTGTAGAACGCAATAACTTTGGAATGGCCCCGGGAGGTCCGAATCGCGGCGCTGCGTTGCGAGGAAAGCGACGCGAGTACAAAGCCGTTATGAAGGTGAATGCGCTGGATGTGATGATGGTTAAATGGTAGGTAGCGTTCAGTGCCGATGCAGTGGGTGAGGTTGATGGGATTCGCAAACTCGAAGCAGTCATGGCGGTGAATGCGGATGGTTGACGGTCAGCGGGTTTGTCACGGTCTCCAGTTATCTCTGTCCTTGGTCGTTCTGTCCTGTTACCCCTCACATCACGCACAGGTCAGTGAAGTTTTGAGACGTCTCAAAACTAGACGTCTCAAAACTAGACGTCTCAAAACTAGACGTCTCAAAACTATCCCTCACATCACGCACAGGTCAGTGAAGGCCGGAAGCCCGTGTTTGAGGGAAGTTTCAACACCATCGACCCTCGCTAACTCAACATTTGCCCCTGTTGTCCCCTTTATAAGCATCTTCCCATCCTCATAATAACCCTCCCGTGCAGGTCAGTGAAGGTCGGAAGCCCGTGTTTGGGGGAAGCTTCAACACCATCGACCCTCGCTACCTCAACATGTTCGCTAGCGTTTCAGGCAACAGGGTACGACTATTAAGATGTCACAAAGAACGTGCCTTGCAACAGGGTACGACTTTTGGGACAGGGTTCAGGGTACAACTAAGAACGTGTCTTGCAACAGGGGTACGAAGATCCGGATTTAGAAAGTGAGCAAACGGGTCTGTGTATTGGAGCCAGGGGGGAGTTGCTTGTGTGCTGCTATTGGTGCGTGATTGAAGAATACAACACAACACACAGCACAAGCTTTCCCGCGACCTTGGTTTTCTCCTGTCAAGTTGCGTAAGACGATTTGTGAGGTGCCTGAGTATTGTGTTTGGCTATTGTGCTTGCATTGCATTGCAGATTACAGTGTACAAGTGCGAGCCTGGAGGTGCAACCATCGTCGTGCAACTATTCCTGGATGAAAATGTAGTGTAAGGGGACGTTTGCATATCGTTCTATTCTGGGAGTTTGGTTTGAGAGTTTTTACCTGTGCCTGATGCCTTCCTTCCAAGTGCAACTATTCCTGGATGAAAATGTAGTGTAAGGGACGCCAGCTTATTGTTACGTGTGCATGCCTGCTGTCACCCTTGCAAGTGCTTGAAGGTGTTCCATGTGCTTGAAGGTGTTCCATGTGCTTGAAGGTGTTCCATGTGCTTGAAGGTGTTCCATGTGCTTGAAGGTGTTCCATGTGCTTGAAGGTGTTCCATGTGCTTGAAGGTGTTCCATGTGCTTGAAGGTGTTCCATGTGCTTGAAGGTGTTCCATGTGCTTGAAGGTGTTCCATGTGCTTGAAGGTGTTCCATGTGCTTGAAGGTGTTCCATGTGCTTGAAGGTGTTCCATGTGCTTGAAGGTGTTCCATGTGCTTGAAGGTGTTCCATGTGCTTGAAGGTGTTCCATGTGCTTGAAGGTGTTCCATGTGCTTGAAGGTGTTCCATGTGCTTGAAGGTGTTCCATGTGCTTGAAGGTGTTCCATGTGCTTGAAGGTGTTCCATGTGCTTGAAGGTGTTCCATGTGCTTGAAGGTGTTCCATGTGCTTGAAGGTATTCCATGTGCTTGAAGGTGTTCCATGTGCTTGAAGGTGTTCCATGTGCTTGAAGGTGTTCCATGTGCTTGAAGGTGTTCCATGTGCTTGAAGGTGTTCCATGTGCTTGAAGGTGTTCCATGTGCATCCACGCATTTCTTTTCTTTCTTGATATACATGACTTGCAGTCTCTCATGTGTTTCCACGTGCGTCCATGTGCTGCTTTCCCGTGTCCATCACCAGAAGGATGAGTCGTTTTACACAGTGGCATGGATGAGGGCTTGTAGTTGTAGTCCCCTATGATGTCCTGTCGTGTCTCTCTTCTGTTCTTATGTGCGTGACTCGTTTGCTCCCGTGTGCCATCCCCATCATCAGAAGGATGAGTCGTTCTACACAGTGGCATGGATGAGGGGGCAGCAGGGGCGGCCGCTGTTGGCAGCTAGTGGCAGCAGCGGGGTCATTCGAATCATTGACTGCTGGCGAGAGACAGTTGTCCATGTGAGTGAGTGAGGGAGTGAATGAGGGAGTGCGTGGGCGAGCGAGGGAAGAGACATGCGCAAGCTGCATACGAGGAGTCTCTGTCTTGCCCCCCCTTATCCCCCGTTCCCTCGGAGTTTCATCGGGAATGGAGGGGCAGTGAACGAGGTGAGGGTGCATCCGAGCCACCCCGCGCTGCTGCTCTCAGCCAGCAAGGACGAGAAAGAGGCAGGCATAAGCTGCTCGTTTTGAAGTGCCTTTAGGCCGCCTCCGCCCCTTCCCCCGTTACACCCCCCCCTGGCAGAGTTTCATTGGCCATGGCGGGGCAGTGAACGAGGTGAGGGGTGCATCCGTGCCACCTTGCGCTTCTGCTCTCAGCCAGCACGGAAATGCGCATGAGTTGCCTTTGAGGAGCCTCCATCCCTTTTCCCCCACCCACTCTCCTACTTCAGAGTTTCATCGCACACGGCGGGGCAGTGAACGAGGTTAGGGTGCATCCGAGCCAACCCGTGCTGCTACTCTCAGCCGGCAAGGAGACACGCACGGGCTTCCGTTGAGCCACCTCCATCCCTTTCCCGCCCATCTTCCCCCCCCTTTGCAGAGTTTCATCGGGCACGGCTGGGCAGTGAAAGAGGTGAGCGTCCATCCGTCCCACCCTGCCCTGCTGCTACTCTCGGCTGGCAAGAACGAGAGAGGCATGCATTCAATCATTCTTTGTCTGCTCTTCATTCTTCCTCCCCGTCGCCCCTCCCTACACCTCACCCTCCACTCTCCCCTTCCCTCGGAGTTTCATTGGCCATGGTGGAGCAGTGAACGAGGTGAGGGTGCATCCGAGCCACCCCAGGCTGCTGCTGTCAGCCAGCA